TATTTTTAACACACACATAATATAATGTTATATGCAAGTCGTGTCGGGTATCAACCCACACGAGTAATATGGTGCAGAAGTGAAATTCAGCACAAGTCAAAAAACAACATTTACTCAACCGGGAATCCGGATTCGGATACACCACGTTCGCCTTAAGCAATACACGACCGTATTCACGATCAAGTCGCACTATTTGCAACGGAAAAACGCTAAATTACGTTTTTAGATTTTAGATTTTTTTTCGTCGTTTAAAKTTTTTAGTTAAGGGCTATTGTATTGTATTACTTGGACACAAAACTGCAGTCGGCATATCAGTGTAGAAAGTATTAGCCGTGCCATTTCGCCATTTGTATTTTTATTACAGAAGCATATAACACACACTCGGTATGTGTGTCAGCAATGGATGCAGAGAAAGTGCCGACGTTGTTTGAATGAATAGCTGTGTATGTGCCCGTGMRTGTATGTATACGACCGTGTGTACGTGAGCACTTGTGTATGCATGATTTGTGTGTGAGTTAAGCAGAACTTCTGTAATGGATCGTCAATCTTCTTCCCCATTATTCCAATATGAAAACAACGCTTAGGGAGACCGGTTCGCTATAATGGGATGCGCGTGAATTCGATACAAGACAATATATTATCATGATCTCCAATAACAATACTATTAATGTTCTACAGAAATTGGATCGAAGACCAATTTTCCTCGACGACCTTGAATGGTATTAAGAGCGAAAGTAGAATTTTCCAAAAACCTAATCGTTTTATTGTTGCTAGATAATTGTTAAAGAAAGTATAATATTGGTATCCATGCTCAATATATTATCAACGATCGTATTATCCGGAAAATAATCTTTATAACGATCCCCTGCTGACTGATCGTTGTTCGTTTAAGTCTCTACAAAACGTGCTCAAGTTTATTAAATGACAATACGCTTATATATTAGTTCAATATGACGTGTACAACTGAAAGATAACGAAAAACACAACATGAAATTATTGATTAAATAGGAGTCATCGCTACTCTATTAGCTCTGCAATAGAATCATAATTCAGCGTGTGCAATTAATGATTTTATATGTAGAACACCATGTTAATACACAAGTAAGTTTCACGATTGGATTGATGTACTTTCTACATATTTAATCACAAAATATTATATGGGTGGTCATAGATTAAAAATCAAATCAAACAACGAATATATTTCAAGTCGTAAACGATAAAATAGTAAGGGCCGTTCTTACAATGTCCGGTTAAGTGTCGGTTAAGACTAACCGGTAGAATTCTATCGGTTAACTCATGATAAATTCTTCCGGTTAGTGTTATCAGGCACTAACCGAGCATTGTAAGAATGGCCCTAAAAGGTGTAGATAGTAGGTATCACCGTTTCTATATGAGACAGGACAAATAATATAGAACATAATATTATACATATAATATATAGATACCTATTGTAAATTTCGGTGTATTATAAATTATAATCATTTCTGAGTGGTGTGTTTCTATCAATGTGGTGGTGTTATCTCGTAAATAAAAAATAAGTTTGTATAAAATTATAAAATATATATTGTGTAGGTATATATATATATAAGTTTATTACATATTGATTTCATTTTAATAAGTAGGTATATAAGTGTTAACAAATCGATCAAAACTGATTTCTCAACGATACTTTATTTTTAACTAGGTAACAAAAGGATTATTATATATTGTATAGACACTAGACACCTCCTTAAACCGGAAGCATTAAAAATATTTCAAACTGTTCTATGGGCTGAATACGACTTTGTCCTCCCCTTGAAAAAAATCTGAAATGAAGCCACTCGATTATTTGGAATTTGAGATGAACGCCGCATAATTCATACAAAGGTCCTACAATAATATAATAGCAATATGTATTATATACATCGCGACTGCTGTTGCAGTAGTCGTTAAATGTTATCAYTCGGTCGCGTATGGTCCGGCTGTCGCTTTCTATAAAATAAAATTATAATATGCGCTCGACGTGGGCTGTTCGACGGCCAATTTTATTATAATAGCCCTCATATTCCGATATACATATAATAATAAATTGTGCGTATTATTTACTATAATGCACACGTTTAACATTTGAACATATATTATTAATAATTTATTGAATGGGTGCGGTAAATGTGTGCCGAATTTCACACCTTTGCGACTCTAGTGTCGTACGCGTGCGCGTCGCATGATGCGCACGTGGCAGTTTGCTGACGTACTACATCATTCAATATCTGTATTCTATATAATACCTATTGGCTGTATTTAGTTATTACGACTGCCACCAMCGCGGTGGCTGTTGGCGAATGACTACGCAGATGAAACGGCCGACTCGCATTAAGTATTAACCTAATTTATTTATTTATTATTATTTTTTTAAGACGTTCGTCGAATAAGGGGAAACTGGTCGTCGCGTTCGCCGGGGAACTGGTTTGCGCGCGATGGCCCCTAATCTCGCYGTTGTATACMTATATCATATTCRCTGTTGGGCCCGACCGTGACCCACTCGCCGGACGAAAGTTGCACACCCGCTTTGCTTATTGATACGGCGCGCAGAGGTGCGTGTCCGCTTCTCGAGGGGTGGTAGTGTGTGCGCGGGATGACGTGTGACCTTGGAGAGGACCAATGAAAATATATGCTTACATTATCGTGCACAGTTTTATTATATGCATGATGTATTTTTCTTTTGAGTAGGCATTTATATTTTTAATAAAATCGACAGTTGAAAAATCTCAAATCAATAGAGTATTTTTTGCTTTTATTTTTAACGATATTTTTTTATCAGTTTAAAAGTTGTACACCTATTTTAAAACGACTTAGATAGTGAGACGTAGTATATTATGGGGTAGCTAACAATGTTTTTAAATAATATGGCACTGGTTATAATATAATTTATTATATAGGTATATAGATACACAGGGACTCTCGGCGATAAGGGGTTGAACACGACACGTTATAATTCAAAGACTTTGATCAGATATAGAAATGTCCACAAATATTTAACATCCCGATTACAGTAGATTAAACAAATTATTTCTCTAAAAATGTGAGTTTTCGAATTCAATTTTAATATTCTTTGAGGCTTTTAATATTTACATAATTTATAATAATACATTGCCATGTTTTCGAAGTAATAAGATAATAATATTATAAGAAAACTATTGTTTCAATTAATTAGAATTTTTAAAGTTTAACGAGTCTTGTTATATTTTAATCAATTTAAAGTTTGAACACCTCTTTGTATAGAAGAAATCGATTTTCAGATATTTTAATGCTTAAAAATCTATTCAACCTATCTACTRTAACGACGACAACACGTTTCATTATTCGTGTTCAATTTTACGTGATATGAAAACTCATTAGTGAGTAATTTGATAACGTACCAAACAAATTATCAAGATAATCGTTTCTATAGAGTATTTTAATACATTGTTAACTAATTACTAATTAATAATAAGTAATCACTGAAAACGACAAATTGATTTAGGTACATTTAAATATTCAATATCTAGTCCCGTAGTGTTTATGTTTTGGGATGTAAATKCCAAACAATAATATTATTTGTTTTTACATTTTATAGAAATAAGTTATGTTATTTTAAGCTGTTTTAAATAATTTGTTTGGTTATAATAAAATAATAGTTCTAAAGACACATTGCCGTCTTACATATTGTGTTATACGTATAATAAGATTGTGCTATACTCTAATAGTTACAAGATGTCGCAGAGAGGACAAAACCGCCAAGGTCGTTCGAATGTCTAAACCACTGTTTACAGCGGTTCAGTGACTCTGAAAGCAAATTTCTTCTAARCCTATACATTTTATGTATTATATACAACGGTTTAATGCGGTAAATATACTATCGATAACGATTATTCAATATCATTTGGACGATCGGAATTGGTTCTGAAACCGATTCCGGAATAGAGGTATATGTACGGTCGCTATAATGGTAGTGACGAATTAGTCTTTGGTCGAAATCAATGAAAATGGGCGAAAAGAAATAAAACGGAGAATATAAAGTATWTATAGTAATAATAATAATATCATATACTTAGTGCGATTGTTTTGGGAGCGTTTATAATAATATCGTAACGKTCGGTTTAAACGCATTTCTAAACGGCTGACCTTGGACGACAGTCCTTTCTCCGTGGAATGTCCGTTTATTCCGACGAAGAAAGTATCCATATTTTATGTGCGCCTATATAGGTAATAACCATAATTATTACTAAACTACGCGAACACGCGCCGACCGGATTATTTTCGTCACGGACCGGTACTCCTGACAGTAACCTGAGGGGTGAATAAATTTTGGGCTTTCTTAGCGTTTACCGAAGAAAAAAAAATATATCTATTGTTTCGTTTTAATCCTATTGTGCGCGTCTGCCCACTGTTTGCAGGTTTGTCGTTTTACTTTCATTTGAAGGACGGAGAAAAGAAATAAAAAAGAATAGTGTAACAACCTAATAACGAAAAAAATAATTGTTTTTTACCGCTTAAACCGCTTTAGACGCTTTGTCCGTTAGACAATACCACCCATCATTTGTATATATATTTAATAGTTTTGACGTTTAATAAGCCAAAGGCGAKCGTGTGCGTGTGTTCAAGACAAAAACGATACCTTATAATTCTATATAATATACATAGATATATTTGCTGCAGAGGCGGAAAGTTATGTAGGTATACAATAATCAATGGAGTTGTACTATATTATGTTACTATGTAATAGTATAGAAACGTTGAATAATAACTAGATGTTTTGTATCACACTATTAAATTCTCTAGTTTATTGTGTAGTACTTATGTATAGTTCAGTTTTGTATATTCGGTGGAAGAAAAATATAGAAGCACGAGAAACGAAATAGGTATGTATAGACACGCCATGGTAAAAGAAACTATACAGTTTGTCTTAAGTCTTTAAATAAAACCTAGTTATAGGTATTATTATAATATGTATATATATATATTTATCGTTATTTACTCACCAAATTTTACGACCATGTATATATTTAACTGTATCCAGGTGGACTGTCACTACGAAAAAACCGGTTGCGCGTTGTATAAATGGACGTTTATATTAAGTTAAGTATAATTTGTTTTTTTTTTTTTAAATTTTTATTCGTTTAGTTTATCTTAATATTCTTTGCACCGCGTGACACTGTCCCGAACGAGTGTAAAAGTGTACTGTCCGATGTTCGCGCTGAAGACACTAGTATAATACTGACCCAGTGTCAATCGGCCGGCGCGATACAAGTCTAGTCGGCGACGACCGACTTTCTCTTCGGTCCCGCTTCCGTTCTACCGCCCTCCCTCTCCATCTTCCGGTCCGGCGATCGTCCTCCACGTGGTGAAGTCCGGAGTCCCCACCAAGTGTCCGAAACCCCACCACCGCCACCTCCACTACCTGCACCTGGCGTATAGTAATAATAATAATAGTAATATGCACCCGGAGCAGCTGCTGTCACGAAACTTTCTACCGTCACCTTGAAAGGGAGAACCGGCGGTGTCGTGTCGTGGGTGGTGCAGGCCCGGTGCACCGCGCGCCGGGCGGATGTACGCGCGCTCGCTCGCATCACGTAACACACGCGCGCGCACGGAGGTATCCCCCGCCGCCGCGTGGATCGGGTGGAGGCTCGAAGGACACGGTCGCAGTGGATGAGACGCTCTGTCCGGGTTCTTTGTACGCTAATAATATCGTCGCTGGAGACGTCGTTGCGCAACCCGGCCMGGTAAATCCAGAAATCCGTGTACGCGAGACACGGTGACTGCAGAGCTYATAGGACACAGATCTTAGTCATATAATTATTTTATGAAATTATATAAAAATCGATTGCGTGCATAACACAATAACAAATAATAACGTTACATACGTTTTTCTATATTATGCTTATTTCCATACGTTTGTCTTACGTATTTTTTTTTTTCATTATCACCGGCATTTACTTACCGCACAGCTGTTGTGATGATAACCGCGGACCACCTGCGACATCCGCATTCGGGACTCGGACATATGAGTCACTATTATTATGTCATAAAATATACGAAAATAATATTGTTATCATAATATCGCTGCAGGAGTTATAATAATATTATTATATAGGTATATGCCAGCTATATTGATTCGTCACGTGATATCGGTTATATCGATTATATCACTTATTTTTATTATGATTCATAACCGTTTTCCCGCCAATTGTTATATCATACGATATTATATAATTACTATTTATTAATTATTAGGTGATATGTGCGTCATTGCCCGAATCCACGGGCATAATCAAACTYTACTCTATAATATTAATCCGAAATGTTTGAATGGCACTCGTATTCAAAAACAGTAAAGTTCGAATATTGCATTTGGCCCGATCATTTCATTTTTCATTAGGTATAAAACTTAAAAATAAATTTTAATTTTAATGATGCAGGGTGTTTTACAAWTAAGTATCTGCTTATTATTTATATAATATGAATGTATAAAATATGAGGAGAACCTTTATTTATTTATATACGTTAATATACGTATAATCAGATCTTATAAACTACGGAATGATCGGACCGAGTGAATATGAACAATACGTTTTTGTGTCCCGATAATGTGATATTCGACAAAAATAATGCAATTTGGCCTAAATACACAATCTTAAT